CTCTTTCACCGTCCTGCTAAACAAGTAAGAAAATCAGTTGCTGTGCTTCACCTTTGCTTCACTTACCTCTTACCTTTGAGTCACTTACCTCTGTGTCAGTACTTACCAAAACATTGCCTCTTGCCCCTCTGACAGATGACCTTGCCGGAGAAAACAAAATAAAACAAAAAACCTTCAAATGGCTGCAACTGCTGTGCTCCCTAAATTAGTATTGCTTTTTCACTGATTTGAAACTTTAATGTGTGGTACAACAATTCTTCTAGTTAAATAATTCTACAAGAATTATTTAACAGAGTATTTAACAGAGGATAGAAAAAATATAAATCTGTGCCAAGTTCCCTGGTTAAATTGGCTGCCTGTGTAAAAAGCATAAATGGCTGTTTGTCTTGGTGTATTGGTCTTGTAATAGACTTGCAACAGGGTGATTGGGATTTTGAGAGTGGACAATTTTGCCAGCATGCAAACTAGATCAATCTGCTGGGACATCTGATTTTAGGACAATCACTTGTTTTTCCACAGGACACTGACAACCAGACATTAGATGCCACAGCCCTGGCCCACGGTATCCCCCATGCATGCGGTGGGCCTTCTGTAGCCAATCAGCACTAACGATTAATCAGAGGAAAGAGAGCAGCTTAATGAGGGTGACAAGGTGAAAATAGGATGATTGATGTGCCGGTGCTGTGAGGGCATGTATAACACCACCTACCCAAGTGTTGAATATAAGGAGGCTTTGAAGAAGCTACAATAAATGTGTGTTGTTTGTACATGAATCACAATGTGTTACTTCAGAGGTGTGATGTTTTCAGTTTTTTTTTTCTGCACTGCAGAAAATTGTAAAACTACTGTGAACTTGGTGGATCTGTCCAGATCTTTGACTGGAAACTATTTCTATGAATGAGTGGTTCAAAAATGTGTAAGTGAAAAGCTGCCATATTTCAGGTCCCAAAGTCAAACGAACACTGAGGGATCACTGAGAGCTAAAAACGGTCTAACTTCTTTCATCTTTAATAAAATGATCAGCATTGCTGCTTTACCAGGTTTAACAATTAAGTTTAACATCCAGGCATCCATGAAAACAGAGTTTATTCAAATTAACTGAGTTAGAGGTTAGCAGGAAGTTAGCTCGCTAGTTTCCACCTAAACATGATCATCATAATCAGTGTTACTAATTCATACACTGGTTTATCATCTTGACTTTCTGTCTCATCCAGCACCATGATCAGGTCCAGTTTTTATTTCATCTTTGATTTTTCAGCTGCTGTGCCTGAGCAGCCTCCCAGAGACCCTTTGTTGCAGTTAGTCTTCCTCCAGAAGCCATCTGGCTGCTTGATCCAGCTCTGGCTGCTGCACCGGGAAAGAGCAGTGAGGAGGTGGATTGATAAATAAAATTCATAACAAAAATTCATAATGGACTTTTTCCATTTAGGAATAATAAAAATCAGCTTTCTTTTTAATTGCTATTAACTGACAGTCAGATAACCAGCTTTTAAAAACATATTCATAAACACTTTGCAGTCAACAAAATTTGCACAGAGGTTATAGATGAAATAAAAGTATCACGTGTTTTCTAGATGTGTTTATAACTCTGTTATTGTACATATTCTGTGTTATACATCATAATCAATCCAGTCTTTTTTTTTCTTTTTTTTTTTACTATTTTAATCTTTATAAAACTGTTATTTATTTTTGTGATTTCTGCTGCCCTATTGGTCTGGTCTCTCTTGAAAATCTGAGAATGTGATATTCATAATAAAAGGATTTAAAAGTTTACTGCCAAAAAATTATTGCACTTCATAACAGAAATGTGCTAACTGGCTTGAAATAGATTGAAACTGTTATGAGATTGCTTCAGGGAGCAGACATGACACCGTCTTTTAGGTTTCGCCATCACTTTGTATTATGCGCACAACACCACCCTTCTCTGGCTTCCACATGAACTGCACCTTAAACATCAACCGTTCACACATGTCATGACACAAACAAACGTTTAAATACCGTAAATCACTTTTTGGACTGCGATCACTTTTTGGCACAACATCGGCTCTGATAACATTTAAAGCGCATTGAAAAACTATTCTTTAATGCTAAAAGTCCATTATCAATTGTAATTATTTATTTATTAATTTAAATTTCAGATATCGATCTTCATATTTGTAAACTGGTGAATTAATGATTTTTTAAAGAATTAAAACGACAAAGTTTGGCAATATATTTTTTTTTAAAAAGGATGAATAAAACAGTAAAATAAAATGAGAAATATATATATATTTTTAAAAACTATGATAATTAGACTAACTTTATTTTAAATAAATAAAAATGATTTTCGGTGACACTGGGAGTCATGGTGATGATGACGTGTTTGAGTGCAGTTATAAAAGCAGGAGGCAAAATTGGAATTCGGGTTTCACGTTTAAGCGCAAACAGGAGCTTTTCCCACTAGTGCTGTGAAAACTCGGATTTTTCAAACTACAGCTGTTTGAAAATCTTCAAGAAGGATTTGCAAAATGACTTCTACAAACTTCAGTCGCGAGATGCACCTGCTCTCCCTTTTCATTGAGGAGGTGATAGATCAACGCTATGGTGAGTACAGCAGGCTAATATATCAGAGTGCTAGCAAACAAATACAACTTAAATTTTTGTCTTTTATTGTTTGGAAGTAGGACTTCATGAGTGTTAACATTTAGGATGAGATGTTTCATACTTGACTAACATCAATTTTAACATGTGCCAGTACACTATAAAGATGGCGCCATGTTTTTTTTTAATTGCTGAAAAAAAAACAATTGAATGCACGCGCCCTGGAAACGCCATTGGAGGACGCTGACGTCAGCGCGCGGGCCCGTTTTTGCATGTAGAGGGTTTGAGTTAACATGTTTGGGCTGCTGGCGCTGAGTTATACGTGAAAGTTTCATAGATTGTGAATGTGTAAAGCTGGAGAATGGAGTTTTAAAAGTTCACAGAGTCGCTAGCTGAGTTTGGGATTGAAACAGTGTGTGCCTGCAATAAGGAGGTGTGAGGTTTCTCACCTAAATGTAGCTGCTTTATTCTCAAAATATCGATGCTCAACTAATATGACGATATTACTCCTTAATTAATGTGAATGCGTATTAAAACCTCAGTGAAAGTCCATGCAGCCTTACACCACATGAAAACTTTTACCACGTGAAAAATGTGAAGGCTTTCATAAACAATGAGTTCTGCTGGGAGCTTCTTACTGTTTGTGTGTGGAATAGCTTATGATGATGTAAAGCCATGTCTGGACAATTTAAATTCAGGCTTTAACTTGTGTGATCACATGATTAACGTAGACGCACGCTTTGCTTTCTCGTAGCTGAGCTGGTGAGTCCAATCACTGCACCTCAGATGGTCGTCCTTAACTTGAGGAACCGTGAACTGAGCAGCAGCCAACTGGACTCCATGTCCCACCTGGTCCTCACTCTTTACCATAACCTGGTGACTGGGTCCAAGGACTTTCCTTACATACCTTTTAAAGGATTGTTCCACCGGGACCAGGTGACGACACCATTTGTCCATGTGAGGCAGAGCCAAAGAGAGAACACCACTCCTTCTCCTCCTACCGACTCACCAGCTGGCATGATGCTGCCGCCTGCGGGCTCCAGCTCTCATCCACGCTTCCTGACTCCAGTTCTTCCAGAGAAAGCGGATCTTGCTGTGCTGAAGGCAGATCGGAGGAACTGTGTCCGCACCCTGACTGTCGACGGCCTCCCCGTCACCAGAGTCATCTCCACTGTTTACCGAACAGAGGACACTGAGATGACAAACCGCTGGAGAATAACAGACTACAGCGCGGACGGCACAGTTCTCACTTCGGTGCTCTGCCGTTTTCTAAATATGTCGGCAAAGCGTGCTAAGAGGAAGGCTCCGGAGGAAGAGAGCAGCATCCGGAGCCCGACTCCAGCAAGGAAGCGCTTGAGATTATAATATACAGTGAAGCATGTCGAACGTCAGCAAGCCTGAACAAAGTGGTAAGTAGTAAATAGTGCTTAAGGTTGTTTCTAAAATAATGTCCTAAAATATTTGAAAATCGTAGAGGTTTTAACTTTTATTCTTTCTTTTCTGCCTCTTGTTTCTAAAAGTCAGGAAAAAGAGTCA